ACTTAAAAAGGCTCTAACAAATAACAGCGACTTTAATAAGAGTCTAAACAGCTTGATATTTTCTTAAGATAGTATAATTGCGTCATATTGTGAATCAAATATTAAATTAATTATTCGGTTTTGTCCGTCTAATCACAATTATATTTAAAATTTACAAACAAGATAATTAAAATATCATTTTATGTTCCACATCGAATAATCGATTTACATTTGGAACATTCTTACAACATGTTTCGGTTTCGTCATTATTTTCATATATTGGAGCGAATGTATTGTTTTGAATCCAATATATGAAAATAATCTGGATATGAACATCTCCAAAAAGCTACACAACAGAAATTGTAATTGAGTTTTAAGCTTGTTGATATAATTTTACACCTGAAGATGGTTCGATGAAACCGAAACATGTTGTAAAAATGTTCCAAATGTAAATCGATTATTCGATGTGGAACATAAAATGATATTTTAATTATCTTACTTGTAAATTTTAAAATTTTAAATATAATTGTGATTAGACGGACAAATCTGAATAAATAATTAATTTGATATTTTCTGCACGTAATAGTTTATATACTCTTTTTCGTGTTTATGAGATGCAATATCGCCTTTTGACAGGCCGATCCCCAACATTGGGTAACGCTGAATGTCAACTAACAATACTAAAATTCGTATATTTTCATCACAAGCACGCAGCAGAAACTACAAACCACCGACCAACTGGTCCTTTCAAAAAAAAATGTTTGGATAGGCACGACAGGTTCCTTCTCCGTCCTCGACAATTCATCATTCCCTATCATCCGTCTATTCGACGCTTTATAAGCCTACGCCGTTAAAAATAAAGTAACAAAACGTACCGGAAGCCGTGCACAGAGAGAGATTCGTGATAGAAAATGGGAAAACTCACTGCACATGCGTCGCTTACGAACATGATTGCACGTTCTGGGAGAGAATCAGCCGACACGTCTACTAATAATGAGGGACTTAGTTCATGAAGGTGTACACGCATCTAATGATAAGGATAGGGTAACTGGTAACACAAAGTCCCACAAACCGACTGCCACACCCTCTACCGAATTAATTTGGAAACCTACTGCTATTGCGTGAAATGGCTGAAACGTGATGAATGCGGTGTTTGTTTCAGACTGCCCTGCCCCCCCCCCCCCTCATGTCTCTTTTTTTGTCGTGTCCTGTGTGGGTCGCTTCTACAGGGTGAGTCTTTTGTGTTCCAAGCTGAAGACCCTCGTTTTGATACGTTGGGACCCTAAGGTAAGTTTAGATTATGAGGTCCAATAACTGAAGAAATCTATTAAAAAGAACAATATAAAACGACATCTTAATATCTTGAACATGCAGTAATGTTTAATGACGATGCAATGGAAAATGACAACTAGCAATGACTGAAATTGGCATTTTTAATTGCTTAATTGTTGGCCTTGTAATCCTGGGGTCTCGGGTTCGATTCCCGGCGGTGCCCGAATTTATAACTTGTGTTGGGCAAGGCCGTGGTCTAGGCAACGCGGAGTTTTCCTCCGTGGCATCCCAACAATTACCCATTCACACACAGAAGATGGCAATGGCAAACCACTTCTGGATCATCTGCCAAGAACGTATATGAACAGGTCCCAGTCCGAGAAAAGGATGGAAGGATCCTGTTCATATGGACCTGTCGTCAGACAGAACACTGAATAAAATAATAATAAATCAAAATACAAATATCCCTTTTAAACCCCCATGTAAGGGTCTATCTAGGGCCTAAATCCGGTATTGAGTCCAGATCTGTAAAACTAGGTTTATCACGTGATTCAGGGAAACTATTAAAGGGAGACAATTTATTGTTTTGTCTGTGTTGGTCTTCAACCCTGAAGATGGCAGTAGCACATTCCTCCAAAACGCTGTTATTTACCTACAAGTGCATTGGGCGTCACAACCCATAATACCAACACTTCACCGCTGCAAGAACTTCGACAGTAAACGGGATCTATGAATGCCCTTTAGAAGTACCTGGATGGTTTTTATGAGAAAAATAAGCTTAAACGCGTATAAAGACGAAAAGAGTTGTATACGAAGATTGGCACTAAAGTTAAAATCACTGGAACGAAGAACCATTAAACACCACAAGAAAACATTGAGATATCAGCTACACCTGTAAAGTTCATGACAGAGTAAAATTAAGCCTATTTCCGCATAGATCTTGACGGTGAAGATGATGCTTCTTACAAATTTTAAGTATTTTATTCGCCACTTGAACGTCCTGTATTTACCAAAGTGAAGGGTAAGAATCAAACTATAGATTTTTCTTCAGTCAAATTACACGTTACTTCAGTCTAAGCCACATAAGAAGGGCCATTTCTACAGCCTCTTCCTTGGCACATCCGCGTACAAATAATGGACAAGGATAATGACGAAGTCCACAAAAACAACGCCCGAATGACCGCCACGTTCAAACGCGGCATTACTAGCGATACGTGGACTCCTGAAGACTAATTTCTCGCATTTCACTTCTTCTGTTCCGCTTACTTAAAGTTAAGGCTGATAGCTCAAGAACGAAAAGATAGACGGGGCTCGTAACGTGCAGGAACAGACGAGAACATTCGCGTGGAAAGCCTAAAGGGGTAAGAAAACATTGCTCAGGTGTGGATTGGATTAATCTGGGCCAACGTCATCTCCAACACATCACAGTCTGGTTAACCCTACGTAGCCAAAGCTCATCTAAATTATATATAAACATTTAGTCCCTACCGCAAAGAAAACAGCGCCGTCTACATTACATGGATCAACTGATCAATGCTGTTTAAGGGGCTAAAAATCATACGAAACCCACAAATACACTGTGTGACCAAAATGTAGAGTTAACTGTCGTTAAATCAGGTGGTATATATAGTTACCACCGACATTTAAAGTGTTACGTTATATATCCACGTTCATACGTTAAGTTTTATCGAGGTACAGATGTGTTAGAATGTTAACATTCTAATACTGCACGAAGGTGTTAATATTCCTTTCAAATAGTTGAAAATAAACTTAATACACACAATAAACATCTCTTTATACAACACTTTCTGAGAACTTACGAGTCCCTTAAATGCTCAGATCGGTATAAAAAACACGGCGAAACTTCAAAACCCTTTCATAGGCAAATTGTTTCCTCTAACTTAAGATTTCTTGTGGGGGCATATACGGGAATATGCCTCATTTGAATTTACGTAGTGTGGGAAAACTACCGCCGACTGTGTTAAGTCAGAACAAACCTGTCTGTGGGGGTACACAAACTATTTTCGAACGCAGAGAAAATCAAAGCATACTCCCAGTATCCACCGCGTATAAAACATTTGTACAAATGTCCATTACTATATATTTAAGTTACCCAAACGCTGTGGTTATCAACTGTTAACCCCTCAGATACACTGAACACATGTTCTAATCACTTCGATGTTAAATAATCTCGATTAAAGTCTTACTTTCTTGTATATTTTTGATAACTAGATAGGTTCGCCGTTAAAGTTGTATTCGGATACACACAAACATCCATATAATTCGATATTACGTCCGAATTATAAGCGTACAATTTAATATATTATAATTAAAGTTCTTAAGAAATCTGTAATATATTTAAACCGATCGTCAAAAACTGCGCAAAAGTCCCACGCGTCGTTTTGTGGCACAAAAAACATTCATCAGTTTACTTGTTCCGTTAACTGTACATATTAGCTTTGCTCCTTCACATCCAGGTGCTCTGTACCCAGAA